CTGCAACCAACAAGGGAGACAGGTTAATCACAAGTCTATGTTTTGTTCTTCTGCCTGCTGACCTCACAGTAGTACAGAGGAACTATAGTGCAGTACATTCAAGTGTACTTTCAGAACTGCAGTTAGCATTTAGTGAGCGCTGTGGAAGTATACATTAGTCATATATACTTGAAGGATGACAGCTGCCTGGGTGCACAGCAGGTACAGGATGTGATGTGGCTTAAATACAGAGTTACAGTTCTCTAGCTATCAGTCACACTACAAAATGTACCTGCAGTTTGGAAGGTTTAAGGTTCAATATATGGAGCTTATCTAGTAGAGGGTATATGTGGCAATTGCTTATCGCCATGGGGATGTAATAGCTTTGCCCTGAATGCTCCACAGTATAACATTAAACTTATCTATCTCGTATTAATTCAATTACAGGTGTTTTATTGCTAATGACATTTGCTTTTCTGCATAGGGCTAGATAACTTTAATGCTCTGCTGTGGAACAATCCAGGCAGATGGGAGATCCATCCACCAGAAAAGTTACATATGTCTTTTATTAAAGGTGCACTGTGTACATTTTCTGGTGGAGTGTCCACTACCTCCTTGTCTCCATGGAGATATTAGTGCTTTGCCTGGAATGTTCCATGGTATGACAATAAACATATACAGCCTTTATTCATTACAAGTATTTCTATTGCTCAAAAATACTTTAATTCCTGCTGTGAACAGGGGAGACTCTCCACAGATCTGAATTGTAAAGTAGCATAGTGCTGTAGCCAGCTTGTCTCCCTTGTGATAGGTTTAGTCTATACTGTGGAACATTCTCAGCCAGGCGCCACGTTGTGCCTCCGCTCAATTTCATTTCTCTCCAGCGACTAGGTCAGGAATCGAAACACACTAGATGGTTTGCAAAAATCCCGGAAGGGTGAGTCTGGGCAAAAGCCAATCAGCAAAGAGCCATACATTCTGTGATTAAGGATTTAAAGTCAGAACAAAGAAATTGTTTGGGGAATTTGATCAAAAAAAGTATCCTCCAACCGTCGAGCGAACGAATCCTAATGCTGTGAGGTTAGCCGGTTTCCATGAAGTGAAACCGGCTGATGAATCAGACTAGAACTTCCTAGACAAAGAAATAAAATTTCCATGGAGACAAACAGGTGGCAGCCCCTCCACTAGAAATGTTACTTTTCTATTTCATGGAGACAAGCATGGTGCCACCAGCACTAGTTACTGGTCAGATCTGTGGAGAGATTGTTTTTATTTTATTATTTTTTTTAAATAAGCATCTGTAATGAAGTAAATGCTAGATACAGTTTTAAAGTTTAATGGAACATTACAGGCAAGAATGTTTGTATGTTGCAGTAGGTTAAGCAACAATGGACAATTTGATTTATTCCACCAATGTTGTGGTTAGCAGCAGTCTCACAACAACAAATGTTTTAAGTCATGTTATAATCTCGTTACTTCATGAAAAACATACATGTGAGTAGTTTTCAAGTTGACAGCTACTCAAGTTACTCAAGTTTGTTCAATAGAGATTCTAGTGGAGCACTTCCTGTATTACCACATGTCATCCCAAGGATGTGCATGTATTAAACATGTGTGAAAGAAAACACAACTCTGGGTATGTTTGTGATGATGAAACAACATTATAACATAGATCAGAGAACAGTGTAATATGAGTCCTTTCAACAAAAATCTGCACTGAAGAATGTAAATTTAAATTTCCCCCTATCTGTATAATATACCCTGGGCAGTAGAAACCCAGCTCACATACTTTGCATATATAAGACATTCCTATGAGGTGTATTAACTCCCATAATGAACAGCTGACATATGGTATTTACTTTGTGCTTGTGTGTAATGGAACCTATGTTACAATGGAGCTTCTTTGATCAGTCTCAGGGGCCGCTTCAAAGCCCCCCTCCTTTCAAGAGAAGCGAGACAGTTGACTATTTGAAAACCTGAAGCTGAGGCAATGAAGCAACAACTAACATCACAAAAAAAAAAAAAAAAACAAGAAAAGGGACATCTTGGATTGCAACATGGCATTTGAAAGAGAAACCTATAGGCTGAATTTTACACATTATAATATATATAAATATATTATAATCACAATAGGTACAATCACTTGTAATAACATGTCATGTATACATTGGAATATGAACATTCCAGGCAAAGCAATAATGCAGATAAGATGCAAACCCTCCAGCAGAAAAAAGTTCAAAGTGATTAAAGGTCCTATATCAAAAATTTACTCTTGTGAGCTTTAAGCCATGTTAGAAATGCTGTAACCTCATCAAAAACAGACCTGGAGTTGTGTTTTGGTTCATTCACATACATTTGGATAATCCTGCATTATTAATCTCTCTACATCTTCAGAGCTTAAGATACTCTGTTCCACCTTGTGATGTCATGTAGTGGTAGTTTTGAAGTTCACAGCTTACATTCTACCTTTTATTCAGTCAAGATGGGCAATTCCAGATCATCCAAATGATTCTAGAGAAGGTGTATGGAGATCAAATACAATGGAACAATTCCTGTCTTACCATGTGACATAGCAAAGGGGAACAGAGTGGTTTGATTATGCAGTCTTTGTGTGTTAAAGATGCATTGTGTTAGCCTGATTCATCAGCCAGTTTCACGTCATGGAAACCGTCTGACCTAGCAGCATTAGAATTTGTTTGCTCCACGGTAGGCAAGTACTTTTTTTTTATTTAACCAATTGCTGCTATTTGGTAGTGACGTATGTAATGCGCCACTGACAGGGCTAACTGGTATATTGAGTTTTCCCAAATCAAAGGAAGAAGGGCAATAATGTCTTTCCCCTTGATAAAATCCACCAAACATTCTCTTTGTTCTGGCTTTAAATCCTCGATCTTCCAACACAGAATATATGGCTCTTCGCTGATTGGCTGGTGCCTGGACTTGCACTTCCGGGGTTCTTACAAACCGTCTAGTGTATTCTGATTCCTGACCTATTCACTGCAGAGAAATGAAATTGAGCGGAGGCACCAGGTGGCAGCAGCCTGTCTAACGTTGTTGGAACCTTTCAGTCTTCATGAAAACCAAACCAGACCAAGTTACAGGTCAGGTCTGTGGAGAGGGAATCCCACTCACAGTTAGAATGCCTGTTTTTCTAATGCCTGTAATTAAGCAACTGTAAGGTAGAGCTGTTTAATGCCATACTGTGGAATATTCCAGGCAAAGCAATGACATCTCCTTAGAAACAAGCAGGTGAAACAGATCAGAAAATAGCATAATATGTTACCTACACTGTTCACAAAACAGACTTTTTGAAAATGTGTTATGTCAGACTAGAATAAATGCAAATATTTATTTACCATTTGGCTTTTTACTATGCCATCAAGGTGTGTATCATATGGCAATAAGTAATACAACAATGGACAATTTGTTGAGTCATTCATTCTGCGGGTAGCAGCAAGAAACCCTTTGATTCTGTATAGAGAGTTTTAGGTTTTGCATGTTCTGCCTATGTTTGAGAAGTCTATATTTGAAATAACATGTAATTATATTGAATCTATAAGTTACATAGTACATTACCATTTGTATTACATTTAATGACAGGATGTTTCACAGTCCAATACTTGAAACTTGAGTTAAGTAAGTGTTGAAAATAACTGTGCTTGAGTGTGTCCCTTAGCCCTAGATTAATTACTTATTAAAGATGGAGAGGGAAAAGAGAGGGATACTTTGAAGTTCTTGGGTCAGTTGAGTATAGTCCTTTTTAAATTAGACTCAAGCTATACCTCTCGTCACTTTGTCCACTTACATAAATACTCCAAAACTTGTCTGATTGACCTTGGAATGGTAAGATATCAAATCCAAGTCTAAATGAAAGAAATAATAGTCTGTTAAAGAGGGGTCGAATGAGGCGCTTATTCTCAGAAATTGCAGCCAGTGAGACAGAAACTTAAAACTTCAAGAAATAAATGTGTTTAATAAGGGGCTATTTTATTCTTTTTGTAATGTATCATGACATCAGTGGCCATTTTAACATTATTTTAGAATTCACATCAATAATTTAATTGAATATGCCTCAGAATACTACTATTTTGTTGTCAGGTCAGAGTGCCTGGAATCTCCTTCTATTTCTTTCCAGTCTATTCACCTCCTAGATCAGGGGTGCTCAATACGTCGATCGCGATCTACCAGTTGATAGCCAAGGTCGTGTGGGTAGATCGTCGTGTCTCGTCTCGGACTCTATCGCATTTGGATTCGGTCTCGTCTCTCACTCAAGGTGTGACACTCAACAAGTGCGATCATATTTCATTACGGCCACTGCTGTTGGCAGTAAACTTGTACCAGGGTGCAGGAGCATGTGGGGCGTCTCAGTGCAGCCTGTGTGCTCATTTGAAACCCGCAGAGACTCTACAGCACATCACAAACACACACGCTCCCTATGCACAGCTCGTCTGCAACAGCGTGTGCCCTCGTGTACCAGCGTGCATCACAGGGCAGGTTAAACTTCCTAAACATCCTACCTGTCCATCTGCCTCACATCAGCACGCCGCCCCTCGCCTTTTCACGCTCTTGCTCCTTCCTCCATACAGCGAACACAAGCTCCTTCCACAGTGCGCGCTGATTAAAAGAGCAAGACGAAATGTGAAGCAAAAACGAGTCTAAATTCGTGTTACAGTGTTGGCACAAAGCAGGTCTACAGCATAGAGCAGATCTACAGAACAGACCTACTGCCACATTTGGCTGAAGTTTGCCTAACAAAAGTGCACAAATGCATCTGTGTTTGTCACGATGTGCGTTTGGTTTGGTAAATGTGCAGAGGCTGGTAAATATCACTGCAAAACCAGAAAAGAATGCAACTCCAGTTTGGAACTTTAAAAAACAGGTTTAAAAATCTTACCTACTTCCTTCACTTTTTTCACAGTTTTGTGTAAAGTGCCAGAGGAAGTTCTCTTAAAGAAGGGGTTCTCAAACTGTGGGTGAGGGTCCAAAAAAGGGGCACAGAGTGTTTCAGTGCAGTTTGCTTG